CAGCAGGAAGGCAAGGGAACCTTGCTGGCCTTTTTCCCAGAAGTAGCAAGAGCTGTGTCCTGCATTTGCATGGATCAGAGAGATGACGACTGTGGAAAAGAATTGTTGCCTGCCACATCGATTCTCCACCTGGTTCTGGCTGCTGCACATCCCTCCTGCACAGTCTCAGAGGCTGCCCCTACTCTCGGCTGTCCTGCTCCTTCACAAGATTGTGGAGAGAAGAACCCAAGGGAAGAGGCTTTTTCATGAAGTTTCTCTGTGTCTAGCTGTCTGTAATTCAAGCATAGCTGCTGGGTTTGGCACTGCAGTTAGCTGTGTTTAATAAAGAAACTTCTGGAGGAGGGCCTGCCATTGCAGCATCATGCATGCTGTCCTCTCCTGACACTGCTCCCTTTCCAAAGGGAAGCAAACGTCACTGAAGCAGGAGAGGTGTAAATGCACAAACAGTATAACCCTGCCATTGCCAATCACAGAAAAGCAGCAGCTGGTTCCTCCGTTACCAACAGTGCACTCTTCTAAACTCCTTAGAGACCAGGCCAGTGGGGTATGTGGGGAGAAATGTGGCCCCAGGAACACTCAGAGTTCAAACGAAAGATTCCTGCCTCTATTCTCAACTGCATATGTTTGCTCTGAACGTGTGCAACCCTAACACACTGCTGGCGTGGGCAGAATGCCAAGAGCATGCAGCACCAACGCAAGGAACGGCTGTAAGTTGTACTGCCTCCGCGCTTCACTGCTGCTGGGAGGCACCGCCTTGGCTTCACGTGCGTAACAGGGCAGTGGGCAGGTATCACTGCCTTGCTCTATGACTGCCGCCAGTGCTGTTCACAGGAATCATGTCCTGTGCTCTGCCCACTCCTGTGAAGTACCAGGCTTTGGAAACCTTGACATCACACCTTTGTCCACTCATTCTGCATACTTGATAAGGAACCTGCCACAACAGGCCTATAAGGCCTGCTTCCCCAGGGACCACAACCCATCGCAGGCTTGGGGGAGGGAGGGAAGAGGACAGCACAGACATGTGCTTCCCCCAGTAGCTCTAGCACTGTGGAATTGCTTGCTGATGCACCCCTGTAGCACGCCACAGACCTTCTGGTTCCAGAATGATTCCCTCTGGCTGGCAGCCACTCGGTAGCAAGGTACCAGCAGGTGATCAGTGTATTTTCCCTGGGGCTCTTCGTGGTCTGTTGAGATCAGCAACAGAGGTGCTGAAATGCTGCAGTACCTGCTGATTGCCCCAGGCCTCGAATAACTCGGTTCTGCAAGTCTGAGTTATCACGACGCACACGTGGCTCCATCCTTTCACTTGCACTGTGCACAATTGTCTGCTACTGGGGGGTGTGTGCCTGTGTTGCAAGTTACCCTAGGCACTGCTGCTTTCAGTAGCCAGCACCACCAGAACACCCTCCACCACATCTTCTAAGACAAGGCCTTGTGGCATTCGCGTCTGTCCTCTTGACTCCAAAAGCTGCAGCAGAAACCTTTCTTGATAAAGTGCACGTCCTGACCTTCCCTTCTGAGAGAAGCAGGAGGGAGCAATAGTACCCTGAGGTGCCAGGAGCTTCCAGGATTCCAGTTCAGCCTTTTCTTCCATAGTGCCCCTGGCATGTCTGAAGCCCTTCTGCAATCTCCCACAAGTCACTGCTTCCTGAAGCCGTGCCAGTTGCTCTGGGATATGTGCTAGGAAAGGAGCACAAGCGCAGCGGCGAAGCAGAATGGGGACTGAAGCAGTCTGGCTAGCATGGAGCACCAGACCAATGGTGCTTACCCTGCTATATGCCACAGGGCTAGCTCTCCATGGGGCAGTTTTCTCATTGTATTGGGACCAGCTGTGGCTCCAAGGTTAAAGCTGAATTTCCCACTTAAAGCAGAGGTTTGGCTTTGTCACATATGAAAAGTACTTTGTGTCTGCCTCTGTGCTACCGTATTTGCTCTTTGAATAACTATGGCATTTCCTAAGACTTTACCAGTAAATCTATCAATCAGAGTTTAATTTATTAAGAACTATTTCACTGATATTTAGAACCCTACAGCAGACCTTTTTTCTGTCCTGAGTGATTTCAGCTCAAACTGCAGATTTTTGGATCTGGAGCAATGGTAGTTTTTACAAGTAAATTTTTACTTCCAAAACAGTCAGTTTCTTCCCCGCTGTCCTTCTAACTGCAAGTTTGGTTGGTTGGCAGAAGCAGCAAATGTTTCCTTTCAGAACAACGCAAGTAGTTTCCAATGCATCTTTGCTCGTTGCACTCAGTGAGCCTGAACTTATACACAGGGCATCCTTGGCAAGGATGCCAACTTCCTCTATTCACTTTCTCCTCCAAGTGTCCTCCTCTGTCTTCTGTCCATGTTGGGTGGCACCAACCTCCTGGAGGGCAGCTTGGCTTCACTCCCATGGAGAACAAAGGAAGGCTTTGATGATCCTTGCTATGGGAAGCCACTGCCTCAGTCCCACTGAGAGCAATGGGACATGGTAACCATTGTGTACAAGGGCACTTCCTCAGGAGCTTCTCAGAAAAAGCATTTTTATACATCCAGCCTCAGGGGAGGGACCCATTTCTGTTACGAAGATAAGGACAAAAAAGCACAACCCAAGATACTTTTAAAGAACTAACTCACCAGAGCTGCACCAGATCCACTCAACAGTGCCGGGGGGGAGGTGCTGACAAATGGGGCAAGGAGAGCTAGAGCATGGCCTGCACCAGAGGGGCTCAGGCTGCAGAAGAAAGGGGTGGCCCTTCCAGCAGAGGGAGGATTCAGCAGTGCGTGCAGGGGGTGAGGAGGACAGGGAGGGGACCTGATGTATGCTCTGACAGTGCACGGCAGCTGTAAGCCCAGCATGACTGGCCAGTGTCATCTGGTTGCTTTGTGTGGCTGCAGAACCCGCAAAGCACCCGGGGCATATGAGCACATCCGGCTCAATGTACTGAGTTAAACAAGTATCACTTGTTATCTTCAAATTATCAGAAATAGCCACAAGTGCCTGCATCCTGGGGCCTGCTGTTCTTGAACTCCTTACATGACTAAAATAGCTTTGCAGGTGAAGCCCCTATGGAGATGTGGTGGATGCGGAGAGTGGCTGGCAGTCATCTGGGGAATGTATTTCACAGGGAGGTTGTAACTGTCCCCACAGCGGCAGCCCAGAGCTAGACTGCGCTCCGAAAAGGCCCTGTGTGTTCAACTCCAAGTCATCTTTCACACCTGAATAATCCTAACTCTGCCCTGTGGAGACGTCTTGAGGGGCAGAAAGGAGAGAGGGGAGGTGTTAGGGACGGTTTGAGAGAACACGCCTGATGTAATATCTTGAAGATCAGGTTGATCTGATCTGGATCCGAAACACTAACCTGCGCCCGTACCAGGTGAAGGCTGTTGCTGCCAGCAGATGTAAGGTGGTTTTAGGGCCCAGCCTATGGATTGCCAGACCTCAGTGTGTCCAGATTTCTTTTACTGACTCCAGATTTCAGGCATACACAGGCCTGCCTGCGATGGGGGGTGCTGACATTCTGCAGCTGGTGATAACCACATCCCTCTGATGCTTCTCCCCTAAACGAGTGACGACTGCTATCGCAGAGCTCAGCTGCTAGCTTAGGGCCCCAGTGAGAGCACCGTGCAGGGCCTACCTGAACGTGGGTTGTGGACATGTCTGGGCTTTAGGAGGGCTCCTGGCAGCTGAAAGACATCTTCTCCAGTGCAGTGACAGCCAAGCGGAGAATGGTCTGGTGGCCATGTTTCTGCTGGGAAGGAGGGGGCTGTGTGTCAGTAACAGCTTCTCAGGACCAGGGCCTGGGCAGATGCAAGGGTGCAGGTGTCCTGAGCAGGGGTCACAGCAGAGCCCGTCCAAGGCTGGCGTAGAGGGGTTTTCTGGTGTGCGTGTGCTTAGCTCCTGGGAGAATGTGCTGCTGAGCCTGACCCCTCTATTCTTCTGGCTGCCAGGGGAACAGGTCTTCGCAGGACTGGAGGAACAAGCCCGCCAGGCCATGATGAAAACTGACTTTCCTGGGGCACTTGGGGACCCGCGGCCAGCTATCCACCAGCTGCAAGATCACGACTCCAGCAGTAGTGAGTTCTGCACAGTCTGGGCATGGGATGGGGTGGCTGGAGGGCACAGCAGAGTGGTGCATGCATGGTGATGACAGTCCACTGCCTCGGGCTGCTGCGGGGCCCTAGCGTAGCTCCTTTCTGTTCCAGGTGACAGCGATGAAGAGGAGACCACGCAGGATGAGGCCTCTTCCCACACCTCTGAGGAGGACAGAGCAGTGGTTAAAGTGAAAAAGGAACTGGAGAACACAGAGCAGCCTGTAGCCAGGACCCAACATATGGCAGAGAATGAGGCAGGCGACTACCGCTCCTGCGGCGCATCCCGGCCCCTCCCCTGGGACAGGGGAGTTTGGTCATCCAGCCAGGTTGGGCTCAGGGTTCTTCCTGGCAGCGTAACTGCTCACACCTCCTCCTCAGCCACAGCTGGTAGGAGGTAGGCAGGCAGTGCCAAGACTGGCTGTACAGAGCTGCCATGGAAGGGATGGTTCCGGTTGACACTCCCTGACCCTTTCCAAGGAGCTGGCAGGTGTCCCAGCTCCCCTCCCTCTGATCTGCTTCTGCTTCCCAAGCGCTGGGTTTATTTTGCTGGCCCTCCCCAGGCTCCGAGCACCTCCCATGGTCAGCAGTTGACAGAACTGGGCCCCATCATATTCCAGGGAGCTCGCTTTTTTCCCGTTGGCTCCGCAGCCTCTGTTGTAGGCTTGTTCTTCCTCCTGCTTGCACAGATTGGCACAGAGTGAGGCAGGGCCTGTTACTGGACACACCGTGGACTGCATCGCAGTTGGTTCCAGTAGCAGGTGCCCGGGGAGGGCCGAGCGGGGAGTCTTCCTGATCTGGCTTCTCCTTGTTTGTAGGCGACAGAGAATTTGAATGCAGACCCCATGCTGGGGCTGTCACAGTGCCCGCTTTGCCAGCTGGAGTGTGGCAGCAGAGAGCAGCTCATTGCTCACGTGTACCAGGTACAAAGCTTCTCTGTTGCAGGATCTCTGTGACCCTAAACCTCTTGCATCTCTAACTTCTGTAGAAGGGGCTCCTCCCTTCCCAGTGGCAAAGGGCAGTTGGGAGCCCTCTGTGGCCCTGTGCTTAGGCGCCACGCTGCCGGAGGGGTGTTGGGGTTACTCAGAGAGCTGATTGTGGCAGAAGGAGACTCTTTGCCCTATCTGAGAAGTTCTCAAAGTTGACAGCAAATCTCCCAAACCACAATCCTGGCTGCAAGGATGAGCAGGTCCCTGGATAGAGTTCTGGAAATCAATCTTCATCCAAGCTGCAGCCCAGGGTGCCAACATCACTGGCCTCAGCGCCAGCCCCAGCTCGGATCACCAACACTGCTGACCCCAGCCCCAGTTGCAGCTCAGAGTCCAGGGCCCCAGCCCTAGCGCAGAGCACAACCAACACTGGCCCCGGCCCTGGCCCCAGCCCCAGCTCAGGGCACCAGCTGCCACTGGCCTCAGCCCCAGAACTTAGCAGTATTCAGGCAGAGCCATGTCCTCCCAGTCCTGCAGGTTCTTATTCCTCCCTCCTACCGATGAGACCAGTTCTCAGAGCACTCTGCCCTGCCCCACCCCACACTGGGCACACTACCCACAGCCGCAAGGGTTTGTGGAGCCAGTCATGATGCCGATCCCCAGACAGAATGGGCAGCATTAGGGCTGGCCCACCAGACGGTCCCCAGCTCTCTGGGTTGGTGAGCACAGCTCTGCACACTTCTGGCAGCTGCCTCTCTGCTAGGGCAGTCGACTTCCTGCCAAGGAGGTGCTCATCCACCCACAGCAATGGTGCTTCAGGAGCACCCACCCCACTACCTGACCAGGTGCTAAATGGTAGCTTAAAGGGCAGTGCTGAATACCACTTCCCACACTCAGGACTCGTGCAGGGCAGCAGGAGGCAAGCTGAGGGCTAGACAAGGGCTGCCCCAAAGGATGCGTGGGCACCTGCTGCGTGCAAGGCAGGCTCCGGGTCACTGAACGCCTATGGTTGCTTTGCAGCACACAGCAGCTGTGGTCAGCGCCAAGAGCTACATGTGTCCTGTGTGTGGCAGAGCCCTCAGCTCCCCAGGATCCCTTGGGCGGCACCTGCTGATCCACTCCGAGGACCAGCTGTCCAACTGTGCCGTGTGTGGGGCTCGCTTCACCACCCACGCCACCTTCCACAGGTAGGGGCGCCAGCCCTACCTTGGGCTGCCTCCCACAACACTTGCAGGAGCAAGTGCATCATGAATTACGACAGCACTGAGCTGGGGAAGGGCTGGCTCTGCTCCCCCAGGGACCCTGCTTCCCACTGTCCCTGCCTATTGGTGGATGCGGATCCCAGGCTGATGGGACTCCACGACCAGCGCTGGTCCAAGAGGCTTCCCTTGCACAGTGAACACCAGCCTCGCTTCATGAGAACACGGGCCTCACTTCTGTAGGAGAGAAGCCAGTGCTGCGTCCTGTGCTTTAGAGAGCCCTGTCCCCGGTGCCAGCACAAGGGAGTCACATTGGCTTGCGCTGCTCCCAGCCCTTTGTTGTTCAGTCTGTGGGATCTTCCCAGCAGCTCACGGCCCAGCTCCGTTTGCCTCTCTGGTACCACAAGGACTTGCAGGTAGAACCAGGAGGTGCCAGCTCAAGATGCAATTCCCCCTTCGTTCCTTCTCTTCCCGCCCAGCATTAGCTCAGGGCTTCCATGACCCCTTGCCCAGATGCTCCTAGTCCCTAGCCATGCAGAGGCAGGGAGGCTCCCCCCACAGCCCAGCTACTGTCACCACCCTCTGCACTGCCCCTTGTGCCTGACAGGGCTCCTGGCATCTGTGGCAGCGCCGTGACTGTGCTCTTTGTGTTTTGCAGTGAGAAGCTGCCAGAGGTGCTTACTGCAGATCACCTCCCCACCCCCCATGCTGAGGGTCCCCCTGGTGCTGAGGGCAAAGACACTGCCTTCCACGGCCCTGTGTACCCTGCAGGCGTCCTCCTCGTGTGCAACAACTGCGCGGCCTACCGCAAGCTGCTGGAGGCGCAGGCCCCAGGCGTGCGTAAGTGGGCACTGCGACGGCAGAACGAGCCCCTGGAGGTGCGGCTGCAGCGCCTGGAGCGGGAGCGCACGGCCAAGAAGAGCCGGCGCGACAATGAGACGCCGGAGGAGCGCGAGGTGCGGCGCATGCGTGATCGCGAGGCCAAGCGGCTGCAGCGCATGCAGGAGACAGATGAGCAGCGGGCACGGCGCTTGCAGCGGGACCGCGAGGCCATGCGGCTGAAGCGTGCCAACGAGACCCCTGAGAAGCGGCAGGCGCGGCTCATCCGGGAGCGCGAGGCCAAGCGGCTCAAGCGGCGCCTGGAGAAGATGGACATGATGCTGCGGGCCCAGTTTGGCCAGGACTCCTCTGCCATGGCAGCCTTGGCTGCCGAGATGAACTTCTTCCAGCTGCCAGTGGGCAGCGTGGAGCTGGAGAGCCAGCTGCTGGGCAAGATGGCTTTTGAGGAGCAGAGCAACAGCACCTTGCACTGAGGGCAGCCCAGGGACCGCGCCCCTCTGTTGCACGGCGCCAGCACCTTGCTCTGGGCAGCTCCATGCCCCTAAGGGGCTCTGCATGGGGCCTGGCTGCCCCTCCCGGGCCCAGGGACTGGCTCTGCCCCTGCCCAAGGGAGCAGTATAGCACCAGGAGGTGTCTGCTTGGGCAGCACAGTTGGGCGTGGACTCTGGAGGCAGCCTGCCCTGGGGCCAAGCACAACCTGTGAACAGAGGGAAAAATAAATTAATTTTATGTACGAGTCCCCTTCACTGCATGTTGCTTCCCTCTGGTGCTCAGGCCCCATCTGGGCACCAGGTCCTGGCTGCCGTGGTTGCTGACAGGCCATGTCCAGCCTTAGCTTTGTCTGGCTGGAGAGACCCCGCCATGGTTCTCAGGACCATGCTACTCCCACCCACTGGCAGGGGAAATGACTCACCTGCCGGGTCTCTAACAGGGGGCAATGAAGCCTGGAGAGCTGGACTCCTCCACTGCTGCCGGTGCACTGCTGTGCGTGCAGCACTGCAGTGAGGGGAGACTCTTCCTGTTCAGGGGGCTTTAGAGCACAGAGGAACACGCAAACTGAGGAAGGGAGCAGCAGGAGAACCTTGTTCTGTCAGTACAGAACCTGGGGAAGGGCTTTGCGGGCAACGCAGGAGCTTCCTGGACATGTCAAGGCCCTGCAGAAATGCTGGCCGGCAAATGGGGAAACAGGAGTGCAGCTGCTGGGTCAGGGGGAGAGTACCAGCATCCTGCCCTGTTGGACCAGGCGCAGGCCCCAACAGCAGCTAGCCTCTCACCCTGATCCTGATGCTGCCCTGCTGTGACCACGAACACCCCAGGCTGCTCGGAGAAGGATGCTGCTCCCCACTCCCTGCCCTGGGGTGGGTCCCCATGTGTTGGCGTGGGTGGGTGACCAGTTCTGGCCACAAGAGAAATATACTGGAGAGACATCAAAGAAAAGCAGCTGAGGACAAACAGATTTTCCACGCACACCCTGGTTACTGTGACCCAGAGGAGACCCTGCACATGCCGGGACCACTGGAATGGTGCAGAGGAAAGAGGAAGAGTGGTTGTTTTTTAGGAGATGTTGGAGACAAACTCTCTGCGCCCTCCCCCTATGGCTAGGCTGGGATTTGAGGGTGCAGTGACAGATGTTATCTGGCACAGCCTAACAGCCTGCTATAGACAGGGTAACGTACCCTTTACCACGAGCTACCCCAGAGAGGGGACATCTCAGCAGCTTCATGTCTCCTACCCAGTACTGACATGCTATGTGCCCTGCCTACCCCATGAAGGCATTTTAAAAAAAACACCTTAGTGTGAACTGGCTCTTCGACGAGTCAGCTCAGTAGTCACCCAAGCTCTGGGCCACACCATGAAATCTGTCTCAATGCCCTGCCCTGGCTGTGTATGGCCAAAGTTAAACCAAACAAGTCTCCTGAATTCCTAGAATTTTAGCGTGAGACCACTTTGCTCTGAAGCATCCCCCAAAAGCGACAATCCATCCTTCAGGCTGCAGAGCTGGAACTGGGGCAGAAAGCACAGGAGGAACATTCTTTCAGCATCCTCAGGCTGACGGCGCGTGGTCTAAGGGACTCCCACCGCTTCCCTCTGAAAGGATAGGATGATGATGTGCCCGTTTCCCAGCTGTGAAATAGGTGCAGGTCAGGCCACAAATCTCAGGGCCCAGCACCTTGTACTGGCGTGTGTCCTTTCTCCTCTGGCATTTCATGCTAAATGTCAAATCTGGGATTTACTAAGCATACAGGATACGCAGCCTGACTGCAGGGACTTTTTACACCTATGCCTCCGACTCAGTGCTTGCCCTGCTGGAGGCATGGGCTCTGTGAGCTGCCTTCACTCAGCAGCAGCTGCAGTCTCTTCTTTACTGGGTTTTAGAACCAAACCTCGATTCCTGTATGCACTACTTCAGGATCTTCCTAATGGAGCAACCGCAGTTAAAACAAGCAGGTGAATCAGGTCCCTCTCCCAGAGCCAAGGCAGCTTTGTTTCCAAAAGAGCTTGTGCATTCCGATGCTGCCTGCTTGCCACATTCTTGAGTTTGCAGGTGAAAAGTTGGTGACAAGGTAAATACTCAGGAGAGCTCAGCTTCACAGCACAAGCCAGATCGTGTCAGTAAAGCAGGTTGTTCAGACCCATGTTTAAATACAGCCGAACACAAGAACGTACAAAGAATGTTGGCTGGACTTACAGGAAGCAGGACTTCAGCTTGGAAATCAGCAACTTCAAGGCAGCATGGGGAAGGCAGAGGATGAGCAGCCCAGGCAGACACTCAGAACAGTGTGGTGGCAAAAAGGATAAACTGATCGTAGTCAGAGCCTGTCACTGCATACAGGGAAAGATCTTGATACCAGAGGGCTCGCCAACCTAGGGGAAACAGTATTAAAGAGCATCAAATGCTGGGAGCTGAGGCTAGACAAGGTCAAACTAGAAGCAGGCACAAGGTAACAAGGGTGAGGAATGACTTACCAGGCAATGTGCTGGATTCTTCAGCAAGAGATAGCTTTCAAACAGACGACCTCTAAACTACATGCACTAGCTCAACCACAGCTACTGCTCCCAGAATCCCCATGGCTGGGTAAGAAGTTCCTCGGTCTGGTAGGCAAGTAGTCAGATGAGCTATCATTATTGTGACGTGCTTTCTGGTTTCACAGTTCAAGGCTTGCAAAAATAAAAGCTTCACTTTGCCATCAAAGGGTTTATTAGAAGCTGAACTTTCTCACCAGTTCCAACCTCCTTTACGCCCGTTTGCATTGTGCTTGGTGCCTACATACCACAGTAACAAGGCCTGTAACAGCACGGAGGTTTTTGGATAGCGAAGAGCACCGTACCATCTGGCAGTAACAAGCACTGTCCTCGGGAGCTCCCAGCTGCTTGCACCCTGCTGCACTTGCCATCCTGCCACCTGCTGTCTTACCTTAACCAGAGAGGTGTCTCTTGCATTGCAGTGCCTCTCAGATCAGCCTTCCAGGAGCCCCTGCTCCTTCTCTGGCTCAGGGAAGGAAGGGGTCCTGCTTCTGGTGGGGGTCTCCCTTGGCTCCTGCTGCCTCCCAACTGTCTTGCTCTGGCAGTCCCACTCCCTGCCAATCTCTGGCCTTTTCCAAATGCTGATCTGTGTTCTGACCCACGTGGCTGTCTGGCCTGTGTGGGTGCCACTGTACGTTAGGGCCAAGAGCACATAGTGATCCCTGCTGCCCACAGCACCTCCAAGGACCCTTTTATTCCTCACCGTGGACAGGGGGGCTTGGGAAGAGGAGGTGGAGCTGCATGTAATGGCCTCCCACTTTTACCAACAGACCCTTGCACTGACACAGGCGTCAGCCTCACAATTACCTGCACAAGCCCAGGGAGCCACCCCACATGCCCGCAGGAGCATGGGTGCCCACAGGAGCATGGGTGCCAAGGACACAAGAAATCGCCACCACCAAAGGAAAAGCTATTGGTTTATATATAGAGATATAGATATATACTGTGTTTACATAGCCAACAAGTTAAATGCAATATTCATAAGAGCATTAACAATAAAAATACAATCTGTGTGTAGCCAAGTACAGACTTAAAATGGTAAAACAGGAGAAAGGATCTCACCAAAAGTACAAATATACAGTACAAATTGATTTATTTAAAACAGTTACAAAAAAAAGCACAACAAAATAGAGATTATCCTCAGAAGTATTAATGCTTTGTTAAAGATCAGGTAGGAAGAGGCAGGGGCACGGTGGAGGGGAGCACCTGACTAGTTCTAAGGCTTTAGATACAATGCAGTTGGTTACATGTTAATACAGCCATTACATAACTGGGGTTATAGTTGAGGGATCAGTATGTATCTACACAGACCTCCTAGCCACGGGGCAGCCCAACCCACCTCCCTAGTGTGCACTTCCCTGCGCCTCCAGCCCGTGAACCTGTTGGTGCAGAGCTGGCCCCGACCGTAAGGTGCTGTGGGAGCGGGGAGCAGCCGGGCCGAGCTGGAGCAGGGTCCCGGGGCTCATGCGCCCCCTCCTCCGTGCGTGCCCTGGCAGTGGAGGGGCCCCACCCTCAGCATACTGGCTGCAGTACGCAGGCCGGGACCACAGAGCAGGGGGCTGGGAGACATCGCAGCAGCTGCCTCTGCAAGCACAGGCAGCCCTGAGATGGCAGCAGCTGCGCAGGGCACTGGGGAAGGCACGTGCTGCTGTGGCCCTGGGAGCGCCGTGGCCAGGATGCTCCTACTCCAGGCGGGGTGTTAGTTCTCTACTGGGGAAAGAACACTCAGTGTGAAAGTGCATTGTACGCGCTCCCCGCCAGGAAGGGTGGCAGGCGCCCAGTGGCACCCCCTTCCCAGCCAGGGCTTCCTCTGCATAGTCGGGTAGTGATGAGAGCTCTGCCACTTGGACCTTGCCCTGTGCTCAGTGACGGGCCCGCATGCCCTAGGAGCAGGCCTGGCCCCAGTGGGGAAAGGACCATGGAATGTCTTGGGAGAAGGGAAGGAGGGCGGCAGACCCCATTATTGCAGACTGCGGAGCTTCCACTGCCTCCCCACGCGCTGGGCAGAAGAGACCAGCCAGGGGCTGGGCATGAGCTGCCAGCTGCCCCTTCCCTCCGTAGTGTAACAGCAGGAAAAACACTTATTGCTCTGGGAAGCTCAGCATGCCATTGCCACGGACAAGCTGCGGCCAGCCCATTCGACAGCCTCTCCCTTGCTACCTCAGACTCCTGCCCTCCGCACACCACACCCAGCTCCCTCTCTCAGAAAGGTGACACGGATGCCTTGCAGCCTGGCCTGAGCCAGGGAGAGGAGATCCCACTGCCTGCCAGGCCTCAGCCTCCTTCCTGCTCGGGGCCCTGGTGCTGATGCCATGCACGGGTGGCAGCTGGAACCCACCTTCTGGCCACAGGCCTTGGCTGGGGGAGCAGAGCAGCAGCGAGAAGGGTCACGTCCACTACGGCTTCCTGCAGCTAGTTCTAAGCAGCGCCTCCCCCTAGGCACGGGCAGGCAGTGGGCCACGCTGGCAAGGGGCAACTGCACTCACTAGCAGCTGGAAGTGCAGAGGCCACCACCCCCTCTGTCCAGAGCCCTGCCCTGTGAGCAGGGGGCACCAAGCAGAGGAGACGGGGGCCAACATCCAACACCAAGGCGCTCCCACTGCCAGTGTGGGGGGTAGAGGCATTTTGAGCTCAGAGGCCCTCAGAGGGGTTACCTCTGCGCACAATCAGTCCCTGTGCTCACACCTTGCACACAACCACAAGTCTCTGTCCATACCACTACAGCCATGGCTACATTCTCCCTTACTTAGTCCCCTGCCTTAGGCTGCCGGAAGCCACAGGCCAACTGCCTACCTGTGACACAGCAGGCCTACAAGCTGCAAGCAGGAAAACAGGAGGGACAATGTTTAGGCACAAGCTGGGCACCTGGACCAAATGGTGCAGTACAGGGCAGGCGGCTACCTCTTTGCTGCTGCTGCCCAGGGGACAGGAAGCTCAGGCAAGGTCACTGAGGCTTTAGACCATGGGATTACAAGGACGGGTGGCCTGACCTGGGAAGCTGCAAGCTGCAGAGTCAGCACCTGTGCCTGGGCAAGGCCACAGGCATGAAGGCTTGCGACACTCCTGATTTTAGGACCAATATGGCAGGGAATGTGACTGCTCGCCTGGGGAGAGGCGGGTGCTGATACTTTGGAAACAACAGAAGCTGTGTCCAGGAGTGTTTTGGGGCCCTAGGGCTGGAGGCAGGAGACAGGCATGTGGGAGGGGACATGCTCTGGGCACTGGGCTCCCGTGTACTGTAGAAGTACCAGGGCCAGCTCGGTCTGAGGCACATCAAGGGGGATTTGAGTGAATATTAACAAGCTCCCAGGAACAGCTGCAACCACTGTTGCAAAACAACATGGGACAGATCAGAGGTTCAGGGGGTGCTGACCGCCCTGCCCAGGCAGGGTGGTGCCTCCAAGCAGGAGACAAGCCCAGGGTTGAAAACAACAGTGGCAACAGAACTAGGGTGAGAGCAGCAGAATCCCAGCAAGGGGATCAGGGCATGTGCCCTCCAAGAGACACCCACCCTCAGCAGCAGGATCTGGACACAGCTGACAACCTGAACACCACACAATGCCTACTCCTGCACAGACAATGCCTGGGTCTTGTCCTTTCTTGACCCCTACCCATGCCATCCGAGGCAGCTCCATGCAAGGCTGCCGGCATGACTGAGTGCTGCCCGTACAGTGTTATCCCTGAATGATGCCTCAGCTTCAGCCCATGTCCACCTTCCCCATGACTGGTCTCCATTCTGTGGGATGGCTCGGCACTGGCACCCAGGGAAGAAGCCCCAGCACAGCCGGCACAAAGACACCTATGACATGGCCCAAGGGATGGCAACGCTACTCTGAACGCTCCTGAATGACTGGTGGCAGTGAATGCCTGGCCTAGACGTGGCTCTTCCATGTCTGTAACTTATCTGGGGACTTTGCCTGGAGGGGGCGAGCAGCCACTGGGCAGACTTGCCTCGGCTGTAGTTTCGTGCTCCCCAGTGGAAGGACAGGTTCTCGCGCTCGCTGCTGCTCCAGCTGCCCAGAAGCCTGCCTGCAGCTGAGCCCAGGAATGGGACATCTGAGCCAGAGGGATTTTTCCTTGGAAGCAAGCACATGCGAAGGGAGGTTTGAAATGCAGCCTCGCCGGCTCCTTTGCTATAGCACCTGCCACTAGGAAACACAACCATCGGACTCAGATTCGGTGGCAAGTAATTGCGTTTGGCGTTATCACAGGAACTACCAATACCTCCTGCCTCAGCTCAGCTGCCTGAGGCCCCTACTTGCCCACACCCCACTCCCCCACCTGGCCCTCCCTCTCTGGTTTCCTTCAACTCTTGCAGGGGCTTTGCTAGCAGAAAGTCCCATGGGACTGAGTGGAGGAGACATGTCAGGGAGAGGCTGTCGGAGAAACACCTGCCCCCACCCCAAGAGCTCAACATGTGACGAAGTGTCCTTTTAAAGTGCATGTGTGAAAAGTGGGGAGGCTGGGAGCGGTGCCCCTGGCCCCCGCGGGGACCCAGCTCCCCACCACCATAGAGAGGAACAAACACTTCCGATACTGTATCTGCTACCTTGGGCTGTGGCTTCCTGGGTCCGCCCCTCCCGCTCCCGCCCCCAACCCCGAGTGCTCCATCCCCGGCCTGCAGGACGCTCAGGCACTCAGAGGCGTGTGAGAGCCCCGAGCTCTGGAATGCTTGTGGCCACACAGCCATGACCACATCCCCCATCCTCCATCCCTAACTCGCCTGTTGCTGCTGCTCCCTGAGGCACTGGAGCCCTCTGGATTCCAGGAGAGGATCTGATCGGTGACTGAACAGGAACCGAACCAGCTCTGCAGGCAGACAGCAGCCTCGCCAGTCAACCCGTCGCTCAGTCTGTGCAAAATCTCCACCTGACAAAGGGGGGCTCAGCCAGGGGCATGACCCAGGTGAGGGCCTCGCAGCGTTACTTCCCGGCATTCGAGCGCCCTTCAATGGACAGCTTCACTTCCTGGGGGATGAAGGAGGGACGGAGCAGGGATGGCCGGGGCTCCTCCCCCTGCGTGGTACATCTTTGGAAGTTGGGGGCTGTCCAGCCGTGCTGGCCACCCGGCTCAGGCTGGGAGGGCTCCGCACAGGCACCGTGGGCAGTGCTGTCCCTTTCTGCCTGGCTCTTCCTCTCACTGTGCAGAGGTGCAGAGGGGTGCTCTCTGGACCCCTGCACCATTCTGTCAGCTCGCTCCCTGGCAGGCACCAGCTGGGTCGCGGGAGGGCAGGTCGCCTGAGAAGCAGAGTTGCCATTCATGTTCTGCAAGCTGATGGAGATGCAGACATCCCCCACCTGGAGCCTGTGGCAGGGCAGGGCGAAGAGCTGGGCAGTCCGCGCCGGGCTGCAGGAGGACCAGCCCTGGCCATACACGAAGAAGGGGTGCT